TCTCGAGGTCGTCCGGCGTTCTCGCGGCTCGAGTATCCGCTATCGAGAGACTGTTTCGCGTGTCTAATTGGACACATGTAGTTATTTGCTGCGCCCGAGCTCGATCGAGCGTGTTCGCGCTCGCAAGGTAGCACGCGTACGCGTGTGTGCGTTTACACGCGCTACAAAGCGCTCGCGACGGCGCGCGCACACACGGGTACACGCGCACAGCCAGCCCATAAAAGCTCGTGGACACCATAACTTCGCAAACACGCCTCCTACATACGCGGCTACGCGCGTTCTTCCACCCGATAAGAGGCCACTCGTGTACGCGCTTCGCGTATGCGTGCACGTGCGTAAAACCATTGTGCACGCTACGCTTCGAATCGCGCGTACAGTCGAATCGAACGCGCCTCTGTAAAACCGTCTTCCACTTTTACACGCGTCCCTCGAGTCTATGCACGCGGTCGCGTGCACGCTTCTTTCCGCCATTCCGACGGATCTCGCGCGCAAACGTAATACGCTTGGAGCAGGCAGCTCGACGGAAATTTCCCTGCTAAATTGAAACGCCGGAGATAAGGTTGTTTACGCGTATTATCGGCGACGCAACGTTGAGCACAGTGGCGCGCGCAATTTTCGGTACGTACCCGAGTTTTTCCGCGAATAACTGCGATTCGATCGCGAAACGATCGCCCAGTCCACGCCGCGTTCATGCGCCCCGAATCTCCGACGGGGTAAAAGAGGGAGAGAGAGAGAAAGAGGGAGGCAAAAGGGAATTGCAACTCGAACCTACCACTTAGAAGCATGCATGCCCGAGTAGGATAATGTTACGCATTTTCCGCACTCGTGCTCGCCAACTATTCCGAAGCACGGCACGGGGCCGTGAAAACAATCGATATCGCGAAACCGCCAACGGCTCCAACACCGTTACGTATACACCCAGCTTCGACCGTCGCCTATCGAAACACCGGGCCGCCGCCCGCGAGTACCCGCGCGCGTTCTCGCGTCAGAAACGCCGATAACGCGGCGTCGTTAATAATCCTTGGCGCCCCGTTCGCTCTGTTCCGACCACGTTCCAAGGAAATTTCGATAAAGCGGAGAGAAAACAATGCCGGAGCGCGGTCGTCCCTCCGAAAACCAAAAATTAAATATCACCCTGACGCAGACCCGTCACGAAACGGGGGGACCGGCGACGAAACGAGATTTTCCATCCCGAGACGAGTAGAGATCGGTATTGGCGCGATCCTCGCGATCGTCTCGCGTATCTCGCGGCACGATCGACACACTTGGACGGGAATTTCTGCGCGAGTGGCCAAGGGAACCGTCGTCGACCGTTGCGAGAGTACGATTGTGCAACAGCCGATCTTCCGTGACAGATCGCGGAGAATAATATCGCGATGCATCGAACGGGTTCTCGATCTGACGGCGTCGACAATGGTCGCCTATAATCCCGCGGAAATTTAACAGTTGCCCGATTCGACACGGATGATTCGAAGGCCGGGTGAACGGATGTTCCGGGGCGAGCGTGTTTTTCTTCGCGGCTCCGCACGATCCGACTTGGTCGAAGGAGGAACGAACCGTGGGGCCACGATTTAACGTTAATTTCCGATTCGACATGACGATTATCCCTCTACGGTCTTTCTCTCCTTCTCTCCTCCTCTCTCTTTCGCTCTTTCCGTTCCTCTCGTGACACGGACACCGCGTGCGCGGCGTTAGACAATGAACTGCCCTCGGGTTCCCAGGAACGGATCGCTGGTAGAGATGGAACGGGACGAAGGAACGGCAATTACGCGTAATTCGCAGGTGTTGTGAGAAAATGGCGGTTGCTGGATGTGTTTTCAACCTTAATCGCGGCAATTTTTCTGCCATTACTAAGTTTATCGGCACCGTACGCGCCGCGTTCGGCACGATACACGGAACGGGCCCCGCGAGCGGACGGCCGCGATTTAACATTATGATCGCGCGCGCGCGTTCGTTCGCCATCACGTCGGTGCCACGTCGACGTACAACCTCGTGCGTGCACTACCGCGTTCGCGTATGCATACGGGTAAGATCGACGACGAGTACGAGAGAGAGAGAGAGAGAGAGAGAGAGAGTGAGAGAAAGAGAAAGAATTCGCGTTCGAACGGGAAAAATGCACGTCGACGCGTTACGTTCCAGCGAGTTTCGAAGGAAACGCGCGAAACGTGTTATTTCGTCGGACGCGAAATCCCACCGTGAACATTGTAACGGCCGGCTTGATCTACGGTTTCGAATTGAGCAACACAGGGATAATCGAGCGATGCCACCGGCGCTCGTGTCCGCTCGAAAATCGCTTCGCTCGCGAGAGTCTAACGGCACGCGGACCAAACTATCTGTAACGACGTGTTTCAAATCGCAATTATCGGATCTGCTCGAAACGGTGTCGTAACGGTTGCGCAATCCTCCAGTGGTAAATTTGCACACCTGTCGCTACGTAACGATTTAAAAATAACCCGCCCGAGACACCTCTATCCGTGCAGCGAGCTTTCCGAGGCAGCGCGGAATAATAAAAAGACTTATTTTTACGCGGACGACGAGAAACCAGAAAAACCAGAGTATCCTACGCTCCCTATCTAAATATCCGCGTTTCACCCGATTCGGAAATCGCTAATAGCTCGCAGCCCACCGACATTGACGCTCCCGATATCTTTCACCCACGGTTTCACCCGCTTCCACGATCCACAATTATCCGTGTAATCGAGTTTTCGCGCAGCCTCGCTTAGACGCGTACGTAGACGCGAGTATCTGGCTGGAAAGCAACGCCGAGCGGATAACTCGGGGATCGCGGAACGCGAGGTAGTCGATGGACGGGCGCTGGATATTAAAACCAGCCCCCGTTTCCACTCACGGCAAAGTAAATATGGCGAGGCGAGGCGGTGGTAACCGAGGGAGGCACGGCAACGAAGGCGGCCACTCGTTCCCCGAGAAATACGATCAGCCGAAACGGTTCAGGTATTTCCTGTTTCCTCGTATATCTTCGCCACCTGCACCCGTTTCTCAACTTTTTCATCGAGATGTCCTCTGCATGTTTCATAAGGATTCTGCGCGGAGGTGTAAAAAGCGGAATCGAGAATGAATCGGGGTATAAATTAAGCGGTAAGCCACTGTCGGTGACGCCACCCCGTTTCGAAACTGCCGGACAGCCGCGACACGCGAGCGTGGAGGAACGCGCGAAAAATCGAACGGTCTGCCGGGAAATACGGCGGGGTAAATAATTTTCGCATCTCGTTACGTAATTCACGCAGAAACGGTGCGTCTGCGGTGGAAACACGCGCGTGAAAACTCCATTGCCGACTGAGCCTGACGTTGAAGATTAAAGCGGACGAAGAGAGGGTGCAGGGGGTGAGGGGGGCGGCGGAGGACGAGGAGAGGTCGGGGGATCGGCAACCAGGCGCAAGACGTTGTGAATCATTGGACAAAAACAAGCGCCTGTAAGCTTAATTAGCTCGTCGTGACGACGAGCGTTCGTGTAAACGAGCGTAAACACGGCCGGACTTAATTGACCGGACAAACACGAAAATCTTGGAGGAAACACCGGTATATCTCGGCGTACTCCGAACCTCTCGTTCCGCGTGTTATCGTGCCTTTGTTTATATATCCGTTTCGTAGATTCCATGCAATTCTCCCGTATTCCTATCGGCGCGAGGTACGCTCGCGGGACGTTCGATGGCAGACGACGAGGAAAAAGGCCGAGAGTCGCGACCTTCGAGAGAGAGAGAGAGAGAGAGAGAAAGAGAAAAAGCTGGCACGGATGGTGGAACGCGCGACTCGTTTTCTCGTGGGAGAACGGATTAACGGAGTATCACGGTTTTTTCGCGAACGGATGAAAGACCGGCGAGTCACCGCTTGCGAAAGCGATCGAACGAGAGCGCAAGAAGCGTGGAATCCCGACGGCAAATGTCACCGAAGGCCGAGCGCACTCGCACGGTGGACGTCACGATTGCGGACCGTTATCGCGAATCCATGAACACGAGCGTTATCCGTCGATACTCTCGCAACCATCGCCGCTGCGAGATCCGTTTCCGTTCGGCCCAACGACGCGCGTTCGATACCGACGAGGGGGTTCACCTACGGAACAATAAACCACGCTAGAGAAACCGAGTGCCATACGGAAACGTTGCCCGTAATCGCTCTACGTGCTGTAATATTGATATAAATGAATCACACGCGGCTCTCCTCTCGAGAGGCCTTCGATCACGGGCGTCACCTAAATTCCCGGCAACTTCCATCCCAACTTTCTTACGGCCGGTCGTAACTTATTCTCCCCGAGGAGCAGCCAGCCCGCACGTAGCCTTTGGCACACTCCACCAAATTTCCCCAATATCCTCCGCGGAATCAAGGATCCGCGACGTACGCCGCGTTCGTCTCCGCGTCGGGTAACGTCCATGGATTCTACCGGTCGTGGAAAACATCGCGCACGACCTTTCCCCGTCGTCGTCGTCGTCGTTGTCGTTCCGCAATGACGCGTCGAACTTCGAACGAGGCCCATCGGATAACAACGCGCGTTCCCAATGCGAAAACGCTCGAAGCGATTTCTACGCGATAGACTGACTCCCGACAACACCGAGTGTCCCCTGCTCGAGGTCAGGCTTCGTGGACCGTGGTCCGAAATACGCGAATAGATTCTCGGATCACGTGTACACACGACGCGTTTGTGGTTACCACGGGCTAAGCATCGACGTTGCAAAGCTTTGAGCATCGGCTCGTAAAACGAGACCTAATGCGAGGTCTTCCCGTGGGACGTGTCAAAGTCACCGGTGCCGTCGCTTCTCCTGACCTTTGCTTTCACGACACAGGACACCGAGCGAACACGCTGCCACGAGCGTTCCACGCGTTTCTTCCCTCGATCATCCCGATAGATTTCCCGTCGACCAGCCACGAAAGCCGATCCCACGTTCTATTCGAGGCTATGGACGGTGGAAAAGCGCGGGAACGGGGCGAAATTTCGCACGATGGATCGCGAATCGATCGCGGGGATAAAACGTAGCTCGTGTACTTACAAGATGGAAGACGAAGACGGCGTGGTCTGGGTACATCGCACGAGAAATTTAAACCGGAACACACAGAACTGTCACTGACACACGAGAAGCACACCGGTTCCGTGGACTATCCAGTCGGACCAGGCTAGGGCCAGAGAATTCTTCGTGGACGACGACAACGACGACGACGACGACGACGGAGGAGGAACACGTCGGGGAACGATCCTTCGTCGCGGTAAATCGAATCGTACTTCCGGGAGATCGGTGGTCCGATCGGAGCACGGCCAGGCGTCCGACGGCTCGGCGTCCGTGAGTTTTCTCTCTCTCCCGTTCTCTCTCACCAGCCTCGAGGGTCGAAAACAAGCGGTCCTTTGAAACTTCCTCCCTTTCTGTTCGTCGACCGCACAGAACTGGCGATTTATCCTCCACACTGGTCGGCAGTTCGAGCGACGCTCCGAAGCGAGGTACGGTACTCACCGCGAACGGATACGTACGCACGTACGGAGCAACAGGGTTATTCTCACCGATTCTGCTTCATTCGGTACACACGAAACGAACGCGACGCGATTTCGCACGAAAGAAGCTACTTCCGCGCACTGTACGTCTCAGCCGGTCATAGAGGGGTAGGTCGGGCACGTAGGTCCAGCAGGGAAAATCTCAATCTCTCCACCTTTCCGTTGACTCCCGCTTGCTCTCCGATCGTCGCACTATCGAAACCGCGTATCACGCTTTCCACGAGTCTCCATGACGAACCGCGCGCGATCTTACTTGACGGAACAATCACCGGGTCCCGCGAGGGGGCTAGGACGAAGCAACGAACAACTCGAACAGCTCGCCGCGAGGTGATCGTCCACGAGGAAGAACAACGACACGCTCGATCCGCTTCTAGCGGCGTCGACGGAGAAACTAACCGAGCTCGGGGGACGAGAGAGCGTCGCCCCCCACCACTCGCGCTCGCCGCGCATCCCCACCACTCCGGCGTCCCAGTGATTCCCCTCTCGCGCCTAGTCATCCACCCCATCGCCTCGCTTCGCCATCCACGGCAACCAGCTCGCTTCTAGCCACCGCTCGCCCCTCCGCGCCCTTCCTTCGCTCGCTCCCACTCTCTCTCTCTCAGGTTCACCCGTTCTCTCCCACACTCGCTCTCGCTCGCCCTCTCTCACTCTCTCTCTCTCTCTTTCGTTTTCTACCTCCCTCCCTTTGCCTTTCTCGCCCCGCAGCTTTCCCTCCCCCGCGCTCGGTCGGTTCCCGAAGCACTCACCCTCTCTCTCTTTCTCTCCCTCTCTCCGCTTGCCCTCGTCGCTGAACTCTCAAGGTGGAGGCACTCGGCGACCGGAGGAGATGCGCTCTTGGTACCTTCTCGTTCTGCCTCTCGCAGCTCGCCGCTACTTCTCCGTGTGTGCACGAGCGTGCGTGCGTGGCCGGCGTCGTCGTAACGTGGTGTGCGCGGCCGAGAAAGGTGAACCGTTAGGTGGTGAGATCCGAGGGTGTTCTAATCGCTCCGTAAACGAAGATACGACGTTCCACTCCGTATTCGTCGATTCTCTCTCGAACGCCGGAGATATCGCGAGTATCGGTGATACGGATGTGTCGGATCGAACGAAAGGGGCACCGCGCCGCTCCGCCGCGATTTTTCCGCTCGCGAGACAGTAAGGGGATGTAGGATCGATCGCAGCGCGTGTCGAGCAACGCGCGTTTCGAGTGTTCGTCGATCGGAGCTGTGCTCCAGGTGATCGGGAATCCAGATTTCTCGGGATAAATTCGACTCGTTACGGAGGATCATCGAGGAGAGCACGGGACGGAGAGATTTGCCTGTCCGTTTGTTAGTTCGCCCGTTGGATGCTTCGTGGTAGTCTGGACGATTTTAATCCAATTCTCATTTTAATTCGCGAGAGATCGTTTTTCGCGATGCGCGTGACGGATGAAACGGGGAAATAACTCGAGTACTTGTAGCCGCTCTCGTTGTCGCGTTTTTCTCGACGCACAGATACCGAGGCGTGCAACGAATTCGTTTGATCCTATCGAGTAACCTTTCCATCCCGTCCGTGAACGAGAGTCGAAAAACGTCGAAGCGACGGAACGAACGTTTTTAACCGCTCGCCCAACGCCATTTTATCCTCCCATCGACTTTTCCGCGTGGACGTCGCGTTAAACAATAACGTTTCGCGATTACCGCAAAACCTGCACCGGTTTCTTCCTCGCTTATCACTGCTCGCTGATCCGGGTTAAGTCCGCTAAAGTGTCCGAGAGGAAAGCGACGCTTGTAAAGCGCTCGTGAAACCGTGCCGTCCACGTAACCGAGCGCGTATACACGCCCGGTTCGCGAAATACGTCATGTCGCCGAAATTTATTCATCCGTATTTCTCGCCAACGGCGAAAACCGCCCTTGGACAAAAGAGCAACCCTATCTCGAGGTATCGCATAAACAACCCAGATCGCGATCTTCCTTTCGGATGTACGACCCTAACCTCCGCTCATCCCCTCGCGTGTCTTCGGTGTCGCGGCTCTCGAGAGCGGGCGAGAGAATTCGCGAGAGAGAGACGCCCCCTCTTCGCTTTTCTCCCTTTAATCCCGAAAGTCCATAAATACCGAAAGGGAATAATGTATTCTCCGAAGGGTCGTTTACGGGATCGCACCGTTCTATCCCGACACGGGCCAGCGATGACGCTTTAATCCAGCGACGCGGTACGCGCGGATCGAAGCGTCGCGGAATTTGCGAGTGTCGTTTTCGACTGTCGCACACGGTAACGCTTCGATTACCGTAACCACCGGGAACGATTCGGTGGAATCGTCGAAATCGTTGTCGCCCGACGACTAAATTGGGACACGGGAAAAGGTAACGAGGATAGAAAGGTGTCGGTAGGGCGCGCGCGCGCGCGTCAAGCGTCGAAACCGAGCCGGATAATTCGCGTAGACGCGTCGAGCGAAACAGTACCGATCAATTGCCGCGTGTCTGCAAAGCGATAGCTAGCGCCGAAGCAGGGGCGTTAGAAAGCCGATTCTTTCCGAGACGTCTTGCAGACAATTGTGTAATGCAAATGCCGTCATGTTCGGGCTTACGTAAAACGTACGTAAAACATGATCCACGCGAACGATTACCAGCGGCTCACCCAGGAATACCAATGGCGCATGACTCCTTGGCACGTTTCGCCTTCGATCTAAGGACAAATCGGTGCTGCTCGTTACCATGAAATCGCGGCGTATTAGAATTTTCCGCTCTCCCCTGTTTGCGCAAGCCGAACGGTTCCCTCGTATCCGAAGGTATCGTATCCGTTGGGAACGTCGAGATCGATTCGGTATCGAAACTCGCAGGTGAGACGCGACTCGCTCGGCCTGCTTACGCGAGGATCATCGACGAAGGTGTCCCACGCAAACTCGGGACGATCTCGCGACGAGTTACCAGCCGACGCGCGCTTCCACGCTTCGGGAATCTACGACAATCGTCTAGCTCGACAGTGCGGCGTCGGAGCAGCTGCCTTAAACGAGATTTCGGGGATGCTCGACGAGAGAGGGAACGAGTAGGTGGCCCCATTGTCGGGGCGTAGTTGGCATTCTCCGTTAACCTCCGTGAACCATCACCATCGGGTATCGACTATTTCACGGTTCGTTCCGGAGCGTAAAAAGCGAAAAACTCGAACAAGACCCGTCCCCGAAAGAGGCAACCGAACGATCGACTCTCCCTCGAGGTGCGAGGGTCTCTTTCGCTCGTTTTCGCGTAATTAGTGCGGTTCGCGTAGCGGGGTACGTCAACACGGCTGTGTCGCGCGACGGAGCATTATTCGAATTCGTTCCGCGTGTCTGACACGGTTTTACGGCCTCGTTGATTTTATGGAAGCTCGTATCACGCGAGATCCATGGAATTTCACCGCGACACGTGTCCGATTTCGCGAATTACGACCGTGAATAAGCCGACGCGACCAGCCGAAGCCCACTTCCTCCACGCGGGCATTCTATCTGGAATATTTAAACGTCAGGAAGGAAACGACGCGTAAGGTCGCGAAACTTTCTACGCGAGGAATAGGTGTAAACGCGTGGAACACGTAACCGATGGGGCTTTAACGACTTTTCCGACCGGTGTCTTTCACGCGCGTTGCGTCACCGACGCCGGATAGGATCGAACATCTGGCTAGGGAATTAAACCTCACGCACGAGCCGATTCCACCTCGCCAACAGTCCGGTTTCGTGTCCCATAAGGACCGTGGTATACCTTAACCAGCCGAGTTACTCGAAGCGTTATGGTCATTTCGTTAAACCGAGATATAAAAGGTCGAATTCGCCTTTCCTTTCGCCGATTACCGATCTAATCGATTCGATGAAAGCGTAAAGCGTCTAGCGAGGAAATACGCGGGTACACGTCGCGACAGGGAAACGTTGGCTAGCTTATCGCGAATCGAACGATCCCGCAGCCACGCCGATAAACGAACGATGTACGCGCAGCGAAAATCGCCTTAATTCCGCGCGCGTAGCTCTCCGCTCGGAGCATTCCGAGCATTACCGTGCCGCGACGCGTAATAACTTCATTTACGGCGTGTTTCCGTAACAACCTCGAGCACAGCGGCGAAGCGGCACCTGCTCGTGGGAAAGAATTCCCTTTGTCCGGAGCACGATCGAATCGGCTGGGCCGCGTCGGTTGCAGCGATGCCGCGGGACGAGCTTCCACTCGGCTTAACGCCGCGCCGAGCTGAGAGCGCAGAGCCGAGCGCCGGGTTATACGCGGTGACACGGCGAAAAACCGTGGAAGAGGCCAGGCGATACGATCTAACGGCCGCGATATCGATTAAATATCGAGCGATCGTCGGCCGCGTGGCCGTTCGTGTACGATGTACTCACGCAATTTTTCCACGCTCCGTCCGGCTGGTCCCGGGTCGTTGACGGGTGTCTGCAACAGAAAACGAGCCGGTCATTAACGCTGTATCGGCTACGGCGAGTCGACTATTTATACGACTACGCGTCCCGCGCGTACACGCGGTCGCGAGATCGAATCTCGAAACTCGTTCGCCGCGCCAGGCAATAGCCGTGGCTCATTTAAACGCGTAT